GCTGTATAATATTTTATAATTTGGATTATAGATAAAACTAAGGGTAAAACAATGGAACTATACATAAAGTCATAGACAAGTAAGGGTACTTTTGGCCTTTACCTGGATCTATAGTGTCCCTATTTCGAGTAGCAATCTCTCTCCCAAAGTTTCCCAAGCCTAGCTTGAGCTTAATCAATTCATGGCTTTGGATCTCATCCTGGATATCTTTGTCAGGCACCAACCTCTCAAGCACATCTAAGAACCCACCATTTATTACATGATCTGACTCAATGGATGGGTGCTTGTGGTGAAGAGATAGGTTTAGAAAGTAGCCGGCTAAATGGAAGGGCATGTGAAGCTGGGTATCCCATCTCATATCAATAATTTCAAGTATAGCCTTAAGCTTATTTTCATCATCCTTTAAAACATTTTAAATCTCTGCTCTTACCCTAGTCATTGCCTCATGTATGTAGCCCATGGCAAGCTTCACACCACCATCAACCAGTTGAAGCACTCCCACTAAAGGGCGAGGCACCTCCAATGCAAGAATTATTTGACTCTAAAAAATTGTATTCAAAATAATTTGTTCAGCCTTTCTCCCATCCTTATGCTTTGACCATTTACTTTGACTCCATTGCTCTGAAGAAAACATGGTCCTCAAGGCACTTTTTTGCTTGGCTAGGCTTCAAAGAGTGCAAAATGACGTGGCAAATCTAGTGATACCCGGTCTCACTAATTCTCTCTTCTCTGTAAAAAAAGCGCATCATGCTTGAGACAATGGTGTGACTGTAAATAAATCCAACAACAAACATAGCTCTTGAAATCACCCCACTAAATAAAGATGTTGTACTCATTTCCTTAAGCATAAGATTAACACAATGAGCTGCACAAGGAGTCCAAAACATATGAGTCCTTTTCAAAGTCAAGAAATGCAAAGCGGCAACATAATTGGTACCATTGTCAAAGACAATTTGTGCTATAGTTTTCTCTCCAACAAACTCTACAATCTCATCCATCAAGCCACATAAGTATGTAGCATCATGTGACTTGCCTGATGCATTAACAGACGTCACAAAAAAAGTACTTGTTGGACAGTTAACCAAAAAATTAATGAATGCCCTCGACTTCCCATCGGACCAACCATCACACATGAAAGTCACCCCATATTTCTCCCACCCTTCTCTTTAAGAAATCAAAATTCTGCTGACATCAAATACAGCTTCTTCAATAAGGGCTCTCTAACCTCATGTAGTGGAGGAGGAACAAGTCCTGCGCCATGTTGCCCAATTGCCTGAACCATACATGCAAAACTATAGAGGGTAATAGTATTAAAAGGAATGTCGGCCATGTAATCCACTTTGAAATCCACTTACATACCGACTTCCTCTGTTCATTCTTGTATCTATTCCCAATTGTGGTTTGTTTTGTTTTTTTCTTCATCTCCTGAACCACAATTTCGGGGCTAGGCATAAAAAAACATTCATTGGCCCCTTAGAGAGAGGTGTTCTTTTTTCAACACTACCACCAATATTTATAATCCACTCTCTTGAGATTGGCGTACGAGTACCCCTTTGCCTGATTGCAACTTCAGATATATCAACATCATCATCATCATCATCATCATCAATATCATCATCAAATAATCGTATATCATCAAGTAATTCTTTTCTGTTCATTTTTTTCTTCTCTTTATCTTTCTTCAAGCTATCCATGTATTCTCTAATCTCCTTTTTTATATCGTCGGTAGCTTGTGGGCATGCTCTTACATTCCCAAAAATTCTGGCTAAATGTTCTTTTTGTTGAAAAATACCACCCACATAAGTATTTTTCACAGAGCATGCAAATCACAAAATTTCTATCTTCCGGATTTTTTGTTTGGCATATGTCCAAGCTAGATCCTTATCACTAGAAGATTGGGAAGAAGACATTACCCCAAAAAAAAGTATTACTGTAGAAGGAATAAAAAGTTACCAGTTCTTGAAGCCATGCTCGATTTCTTCATGGCCTTTAAAACCCCCGATTTCTTGTCACAAGTTCACCTAAACTTTCCCAAATCAACAACCAAAAGGTTCAAATCAATAACTAAGCATCAAACAATCCCCAAATCCAAGATCTCAACAAAAAAAATTTCTGCATATTTTTTTTTGCTCAATTTGATCCCAAAAAAGCCACAAAAGTGGCTGTAAATACTCGTTTAGGGGGTTTAATACCCCCCCAAACTATTTCCCCCAATTTTTGATGGTCAAAAAAACTATTTTTACCATCCCCGAGGGGCATAGTCGAAAATAAAAGTACGAAAAATTATGCTCCCATATGCGGGCAATGCGCTATGCGGCTCTGATGCACTCTGATGTGACGCATATGTGCCCGCATACCTACAAACTGCATATGAGGTCATTCCAAATGTGCTGCCCACCGCATACCACTTGATGCGGCTGCATATGCAACGATGCGGCCACATTTTAAAACACTAGGCTGTACGGTGAACAACCTCCCCTCTACCTATTTGGGCCTCCCCCTTTGTCACGGCAAGCCAAAACTTAGGCAATAGGGGCACGATATATATAGATATATATATATATATAGACAAATTCGACCATAAGCTAGCAACGTTGAAAGGTAGACTTATGTCCCCAGCTGGTAATAACCTTACCAAGGCCACTTTATCCAATGTCCCTATCTTCCAAATGTCCCTCTTCCACATGCCCGCCGTTGTTGCCTCACATCTGAAAAAGCTCATGCACAACTTCTTATGGGATAACGAAACCAAGAAATATCACCTCATTTCCTGAACCATAGTTCGTAAGCCTAAGTCACAGGGTGGCCTGGGCATGGGCATTCACTTTCTTATGTTCAACAATTTGGCATTACTGGGTAAATGGTGGTGGCGCCTGGCCACTCAAGAAGGCCACCTGTGGCAAGCCGTACTTATCCACAAATACCGTCTCCACCACCCACCTTGGCTCCCTCACAACACGCCCTACAATTCTTGTTTAGGAGCCCAGAGATCTTTCTTGCATTGCCTTTTCCCGCTCAAAGCAAACATTCACGTTCATGCAAGGGCGGGCAACAGCATCAACTTTGGACCTTTGGATTGGCCATACTCCCCTGAGAGACCTTTTTCCCAACCCTTTCCGGCCTAGCCAACGATGTCAATATCTCAGTGGAGGAGTCTTTCCAATTGATAGGCTCCACTCTCTCCTTGAACTCTAATTTCAGAAGATATATTCCGTTACAGAGGGGCTCAAGACTTCCTCCAAGCCTTAGCCCTCCTCCATTCCGTCCACCTTTCCCCTCATGAACAGGATAAAGTAATCTGATCCCTTACTGCGGATGGCTCTTTCTCAGTATCGTCCTTTTACAGGAAGCTACAATCCACTTTCCCAACCTCTACCCCCACCTCCTCAATAGTGGCCAGAGCCTGGAGGCCTTTCATTCCTCCCAAAATCCAACTCTTCAGTTGGATTTCCCTCTGCAAAAGGGTCCTAACGGTAGATCAATTGCAAAGAAGGGTATGATCACCCCCAATCGTTGTGTCATATGCATGGCAGATGAGGAAACAAATCCACACCTCTTCATCCACTGCAGTCTAGCCAGCAATCTGTGGAAGGACCTTCTCACACTCTTTCACTGGTCATGGGTCACCCCTAGGTCAATACCTCAATTTTTTGAATTTGCGAAGTTCCTTCCCTGGACTACTCCGGCATCTTACTATGGAAGGGCTCAATAGCAGCCACCCTATGGGTCATTTGGATTGAGTGCAACAACCACATTTTTTGAGGTCACTTCTTCTCAATCCATAATCAGATCCAAGGTCATTTTCTGGCTGCGAACCACAAGTACTTCAAGCACCTCCCAGCCTGGGACTTCTACCTCAACTGGCAATCACTCCTTTCTTTGAGGCCCAATGCCATTCCTCAATCGTCTCTTTGGAGACCTTCAGAACAGGGCAAAACTAAGCTCAACTTCAATGGCTGCTCGCTTGGCAACCCAAAACCAGCTGGTATTGGAGGCATCTTTAGAAACTACCAAGGACTACTCCTCTCTTCTTTCGATAGACCGATTGGCCGAGCCGGCTCCACCATGGCGGAAGCGCTGGCCATCTTGAAAGGGCTCAAACTCTTCAACCCCCAATGGAACACTGAACTTATTGTGGAAGGAGACTCTAGAAATGTCATCCTCTAGGCTTCGAGGGAGGCCACACCCCCGTGGAGACTAACCCACATGTTTAACGAGATTTTCGACATTTGCAGGCTCATTCTCGTTTCATAGATTCATACCTAGCGGAAGGCGAATCACATAGTATACGCACTCGCTAGAGAAGGCACAATAATGGCTGGAGACTAGATGCCTTTGGTTTTTGGGACTTTTTCGGTTTTGGATTTCTTAGCCTTCTTGCTATCAGAGTCACTGGATACACATTTTTTTGCCCTCACCACCCTCTTAGGGGTTTTTGTATAGAGCTCCCGTGTTTGTGGATAGCCCAATTTTTGATAGCTTGTACATCTTTACTTTATGCTTTAATACAATAGTAAACACGTTCAAAAAATAAATAAATAAAGACATGGATTTACAATGTCACAATCCATGCATGATCGTATTCCCTCATCGATTCAACCTCACTTGAGCATCTTTGATTTCCAACAATATATAAATGTTATAGACAATAATGCATATGTGTATATGCTCAAATATAGATATACATGGATATTTAACCTTATGATTGCACTTAAGAAAACAAAAATCCAAACCCACTAGCATTACAGTATAATTGCTAATAATTTATGCCAGATGCGACAAATTGATCAGCCTTTCCAAATACATGGCAAATGTTGTTCAAATCAATGGTCTGTTACAGTAACTTGTAAAAAATATTACTAGTTCCCACTGACCAATCAGAGCAGGTTTGAGATAAGAATTTAAACTGTACCTTAGTATAACTAACCAAAATTTTGGCTTGTCAAATATATCATGCATTTTAAATTATGTATGGTCATAAAAAGGGGAAAGTTGCATACCTCGATCAAAAAGTATTGAAAGCAACTCCGGTGCCTACACAGAATGGTTGCCCAGTAACGAGTAAAACATTTGTGTATCATCGTATAATTATCTTATAATCAAAGAAGCATGAATCAATAAAGTCAATAAGAGAGTTCTCAAATTTTAAGATAAATGCAGCACTGAAAGCCCAATCAAAAAGGCAAGCCGACTCCAGCAGTCTGGCTCATTTATCAAATGAAGTTATCGAGGTAGCTAATTTGTTAAAAAAAATATATACTCTAAATATTCTCACTTTGATAAATGTTGATGGAAGCATGTAGGCTACCTATTACTGTATCTGCTCATATCACATGATTACACAGTTCCATTAGGGTGCTACAGACATCTAACATGTTGAACTCAAGGTCTCAAGAAATCGAAGGATAAGAAAAGCAAGGGGACAACACATGTTTGAATATGGAGACACAACACATGTTTGAATATGGAGACACTAAAGACAAAAGAAAAATAAATTAGATCTTTGAAAATAAAACTTGACAATATTCAATTGGCCAACATGTAAGGTGCCCTGGTGATATTATGCAAGAACACCTGGTTAGAATAGCAAGGAATTCTTGAACAAAGCCCACTACCTTAAATCCATTAACCAAGGATTTTAGTACTAACCACTCATACAAAGTGCACTGATTTTGATACAGATTTATAATGATGGAATTTTAAATACCCAATAACACATTCATAGGACACATGCGCATGCACATGCACATGCATGCCTTTACCTGCTTAATTTGTGAAAGTACTTATGTTTGCACATGTGCATATAATATTCATGCATATTTCCATAATGGGACTGGATAATTCATCAAACCACATCCGACAACTACACAGAAAAATGGAGTGCCTAAGCACAAGAAATGCCACCTCTATGAAGTCACACACTCTTTCTAATCTGTTGAATGCATTTTTCTCGGTATTCTGTAACCCAGACGTAGTAGAAATGTTTGATTTGAAATGTGACATTCTACGAAGCAACTTTTTTTACAAATGTCAAGAGCCTTGCCATCCTCTCTCTCTCTCGGTCACCAGTCACAAGGTCTGGCCACCAGATTTGACCAGGCCTACATGAACTTCGATCACAATTAGAATGGGAAGTGCTACTTTAAGAAATGGTTATTTTCCTATTCATGTTACTTAGAATTATGGTTGGTAATACAAGGAAAAACTAAAGATACCCTAAAGCAAATCTCCCTCTCCCTTAGATCAAAGGACCCGAAGACTACATTAGAAAACCCATGCCCCTAGGAATGCCCTTTTTGCCTAAGAGACTCCTACCTCAAACCTAAACCTGAGGTTAATTCAAGTGGGTAGTTTTAGCAGGTTTACAGGTGTCAGTACCAAAAAGAGCCTCCTAAGGCAGAGTGCTAGTCGCTTGGGTGGCATATAGAATAGGTCATAAGTGTGTCCCGGTATTGACACAGCACACAGTATAAATAAATAAAATCCAATAGAAAATACAGCTGAAACGTCCCAATGGAGAGAAGTCTCTCTACACTAAAAAATGCAGCAAAACTACTCTCTAATCTCTTTACAAATTCTTAAATAGCCACTCTTTTAAACCCTAAATTATAATAAAACACCAAACTACGCCTCCTAGTTAATAAATTCCAAAAACTCCTCACCACCACTAAATAATATTAAAATTTTCAGAAATACCACTGTGGACAGTAATTCATGAACAGTACCCATGAATAGCAACTCATGAATAGTAAAAAAATAAATATTCATGATGATGTCAGCATGATATCAGCAGGACTGCAGCAGGTGTGAAGAATATATCATGCCTTTCCTAAAAGCAGACTGTAAAGCATGACCCTTATGAAAACTGGGACAAGGTAGAAACTTTAAAATGGAGGTTAACTTAACCAGGTCAAGCACCCCACGTGGAAGAAGCCGGACCAACCAGGTTATGTCCCTATTTTTTATGAGGCTGAACATGGTGAATGAAGAGTTAACAGATGGCAGTCGGCCAAACCTGAATAAGGACTGGGTCATGCATTCAAAATGAAGAATGCAACCTCCGCCATCCATTTTACCTTCCACAAAGCAGAGCGAGTGAAAAACATAACGAGCGTTTGAGGCCTGGAGTCAATGTGGGCTTAAACTTCTATTTTACAATGAGGGATAAGTGGGTTGTAAATAGAGCACAATGAAGGAGCCAAATGTTTAGTCTGCACCTCACACTTCCATAGGAAGGAAAAAAGTAGGAAATGTGAAAGGCTCCGTGGGCAATGAAGTCCTCATCTTTGTCAAAGGACTAAGCGGGATAGTACAACCTAACATTCCTTATGGCAAGTGCAACATGGGATTAGCAATATGTTGTTTAATGGAAAAAAGGCATAAGTCAAGGTTTGCCTCTACGAAAGCCAGGAGGGGAGGGAAGAGAAAACAAATCGGTTTTTCAAAGAGACACAAGAGTCCACAAAAGAGTAGAGTACAAATCAGTTTTTCAAAGAGGTGCAAGAGCCCACAAAAGAGCAGAGTAATAATGATGTAAGATAAACCATTAGCAAGGATGGTGTTGGCACCTTCTCAAAGCAGGAGGAATGAAGAGTTTACTACCCCATACTTCAAAGGCCAAAAGTCGCATAGCTCAATGCTCGAAGTAGGCAACTTACTGGATGTGTGATTGCATCATTCCAATTGGCCAACACGTAGTGGATAGTTATAGGTGCATTGAATATGCGGGATATCGCAAAGTATCCTGCGAGGTTGGGATTTCAGAAATTTCTTTGAAAAGTAAGGGCATCAATCCCACTCCTCAGGCAATGTTAATTGTGGGGTTCAGGGTACTGAATTCGGGCATATTCTGCTTGGCACTTTAAGGGTTTGAAAATTTCCTTTGCAGGTACTTGGTGAGTCATCCAAAAGTCAAGGATCTAAACTTATGAGCTTAGGAATCATCTTGTATCTTCCACAACTTTGAAACCAAACTGTAAATATAAGTGACAACGTCCATGAGAACCACTTATAGGAGAGAACTCAGATTTTTATGATCATTCATAAATAATAGAAAAATTAACTCAAGCGACGTGTGTGTGTGTGCATTATCATATAATACAAAAATATCTACATACACACAACCATGTGTTTATATTTTTAATATAACCTGGTCAAGGCTATAACTTTTCACTCATGTCTGCTAATTTTTGCACTTGATGAATCCGCAATAATGTCTATGTCCATATTTCATGGAAGGGAAGGTACTTTGATGCAATCATCAACTTGAAATTTTTCAAATGCAATAATTGGTCCAGCATCCAAGGCCCGAACTGTATATACAAGTGACACTCCAGTTTCTTTGGCATCATCCTGTATCCAACAAAGCCAAAATCAAATTTTCTGACAAAATAACTCACACACTAAAAATTGGAAACAAGAATAAGATAGATCAAAATCTTTTGTATTTAAAACCAAGCAGAAACTGAACTTGTAATGCTCGTTGAACAGGTGCAGCTCCACGATAGAGGGGCAGCAAACTAGGATGTATATTGACAATGCCTGATAGAATCGAGTATCAAGATTTCAATTTCAAACATGAGAAAAAATTTCAATAAGCAATATGAATTATACAACATTAAAACATTTGTAGACACTAGAAAGAAAGAAATTATTATTATGGATGAAATTCCCTTGGAACATTACTTGCTTTGGGTTAGATACATGATAGTAACCAACTTAGCCAACTCTAACTGCTTGATCTATTAAGGCTGACTAAGGTTATGGCACCGGTGATGCCCATTATAGATTGAGCCAAAGAAAAGTTTAAAGTCATCTATCTGACAAAGGGGGAAAAAAACGAAAGACAACTTACACAAAAAACATTCTATGTCCTCATCAGGATTCAAGATAATGTTCTGTATACTGCAAAAGAAATCATTTTAAATGGTCAAGATTTTAGAAAATGCAAGGCAGATGGATGTGGAAACCAACCCACACCTCTTCATCCATTGCCGAGTCGCTTTTACCTTGTGGGGCCTACTGCTCCAACTCTTCGAATGGGTGTGGGTAGCGCCCTCCTCCATCTCACAAAAAACATTTCTCTGTCCTCATCAGGATTCAAGATAATGTTATGTATATCGCAAAAGAAATCATTTTAAATTGTCAAGACTTTAGAAAATGAAAGCTAGACGGATGTGGAAACCAACCCACACCTCTTCATCCATTGCCAAGTCGCATTTACCTTGTGGGGCCCACTGCTCCAACTCTTCGGATGGGTGTGGGTAGCCCCTCCTGCAGCGCACAACTCATTGAGGCCTTCTTCTCTTCTCCCTGGACCAAACAAGAGATCTTCCTATGGAAAGCCGTTAGTCGTTGCCATCCTCTGGGTCATCTAGTTGGAGACAACAGTCGGATCTTTAGAGGAGAATCTTCCACCATTCAGGCCATGTTTCATACGGTAACATCCCTAGTCACTTTCCGGGCCAAAAGCAAAAAGTCATTCCAGCACTACTCCTTCTCGGATTTCCATCTTAATTGGAGAAACCTGTTGTCCCTTTGATCAGAAAGGATCTCTCGTTCCTCTTTATGGAAACCACATGAGCCGGGCCAAGTGAAGCTCAACTTTGATAGCTGCTCCCTTGGCAACCCGAGCTCTACTGGAATAGGGGGCTCATTCAGAAATTCCAATGGCTACACCATTCTTTCCTTTGCTCTCTTCGTCCGACCTACCAACTCCTCCGTGGCCGAAGCTCTGGCTTCCTCGTTGGTTTTTGCAAATTCAATCCCGCTTGGAGTAGCTCCCTCGTAATAGAAGGCAACTCCAAAAATGTCAAAAAATGGCCTCGCAGATTGTCACCTTATCCATGGAGACTGGCTCGCATTTTTTACGAAATCTTTCACATTTGCAAGGATAAATCCATGGCCTATCGGCATATTTGGCGAGAGTCAATTGCAGTAGCCGACACCCTAGCTAAAGCAGGAGCCTCTTAAAAGATCATCACAGAGTCTTTCTAGCACCTTTTTTAGATATAAACATCCATCGTATCTCTTTTTCTATTTATGCTAGTATAGCATTTTTTGGACCCTTTAGGGGTTTTGTACAGGTTCTCCCACCTTAAGGGAGCCCCATTTTTAGTACCTTCTATACAACTCTTTGCAACACAAGAAAAAATTCAGATGAAAAAACTTTCCTCCCCTATCCCCTCCCTCCTACCCTCTCGACACTATTACGCAAGTAAGCGTCGTCCTGCTCTTCCGATGCATCATCCCCCCTTTCTGCCCCATCTCCCGCGTAGCTGGAATGAAATCTACGACCTTTACCCTAAACCCCCTCCTCCGCCTCCCTCTTACTCTATTTCTTTGTTCCCCGCCTCCTTCAGGGCATCTTTCTCTTAGGTTACTGCCTCGCGTAAGCCTAACTCTTCCCTCCCCCTGAACCCACCTCTGAAACTACCTGAGATCCCCCCTATTGTGGTTAGGTCCCCTCTCACATCTTTTTGTATCCCTGTCCCAAAGGTCGATGTTGCGAAGACCAACCCCAAACTCCTTGCATCCATAATAGGAAGGTCCTACCCTGCTCGGCATAATGTTAGAGGAATTGAAAAGGCCACGCAGAAACACTGGGGGGAACCCAATCTCAATTGCAGGCGCCTTTCCAACAGTGATTTCCTCCTCTCCTTTCCCTCTTCTTCTGGTGCTAGCCTTGCACTTCAAAGCTCTTCCCCCTTCACCTTCTTCGGCGAACGATGTGACCTGCGGGCCCGGTCACCTTCCAAAGGGTCTTTCCCTAAGCAGCGTGTTTGGCTTACCATCGACGACATCCCCCTGCACGTCTGGCCCCCTATTACGTTCCAGAGCCTCGCTACTGGGTGTGGATCTTTCGTGTCCACCCATTGGATTTCACTTGAAACTCTCCCTCTGGCAACAATTCGTGTCCTCATTGAAACGCTGGACCCCAGTACCATTCCTAGCTTGCTGTGCTTAGAGGTTGGCGAGCTTTTCTACCCCATTTCGACCTCTTGGTCGTTTGCCTCTCCCCCTTCCCCTCATTTCCTTGCCAATAAGGATCCGCCTGCGCCCTCAGTTGCTCAACCTGACTCTTGGACTCTGGTAGAGAAGAAATCCCATCGACGCTCCAGACATCCTAGGTCTCTTGCTTTGGTGGGGGTCAAAGACTGCCAACCTCCAATCCCTCCTCCTCCGTCTGCACCTAAACTCTCTGCGCCGGCCCCCCTAGCTCTGCCGCACTTAGCCCCTTCCACCTCTGGCCTGCGCCACGTCAAAGAGCCCTCTCCTCCTCAGGTCGACTCCCTGACCCGGGCAAATCTAACTCGAAATCCCCTCCCCCCTGGACGACCCCCCTCAGTAACCGCCTTCTGTGCCCACCCCTCCGGAGTACCCGTGCTAGCTTACTGAGCCCCTTCCTGCCTCGTTCTCTCCAGCTGTCCCTTCAGCCCACGCATCACAAGCTCCCCCCTCCGGCCTGTCGACAAATCCTGCCACTCTCCTGAAAGCACCGTCTTCTTGTGTGGCCCCTTACCACTTTTCTCCCTTTCGTGCCTCCTTGGCCCACCTCTTACCTACCCCCCTCTCTGTTCTCCCCCCCTTTCGAAACGTGGCTTTTGCCACTGCCTTAGATCTCTCTCCCCTTCAGTCTATCTGCCTTCTTAAGCCCAATAAGGATGGCCCGAAGGACCCGCTCACCTCTTCCCAACTTGCTTCGGCCCCGGGTCCCCTTTTGCTACCTGGCCCGACTGCCTCTTCGGTCTTGTCGGTCCCTTTTTTCGTACTTCCTTGCCCCCTTCACACGTGTGAGCATGGCTTCCCCACTGGCGACCCTTCGATCAACAAGGATCTCTCGTTCCTCTTTATGGAGACCACCTGAGCCAGGCCAAGTGAAGCTCAACTTAGATGGCTGCTCCCTTGGCAACTCGAACTCTAATGGAATAGGGGGCTCATTTAGAAATTCCAATGGCTACACCATTCTTTCCTTCTCTCTCTTCGCCCGACCTACCAACTCCTCGGTGGCCAAAGCTCTAGCCACCTCGTTGGTCTTTGCAAATTCAATCCCGCTTGGAGTAGCTTACTCGTAATAGAGGGCGACTCCAAAAATGTCAAACAAATGGCCTTGCAGATTGTCACCTTTATCCATGGAGACTAGCTCGCCTTTTTTACGAAATCTTTCACAATTGCAATGATATATTCGTGGTCCTTCAGCATATTAGGAGGGAGTCCAATGCAGTAGCCGACGCCCTAACTAAAGAAGGAGCCTCTCAGAAGATCGTCACAGAGTCTTTCGAGCACCTTTTTTAGATCTAAACATCCATTGAATCTCTTTTTGTACCTATGCTTGTATAGCATTTTTTGGACCCTTTATGGGTTTTGTACAGGTTCTCCTGCCTTAAAGGAGCCCCATATTTAGTACCTTCTATACAACTCTTTGCAACACAAAAAAAATTTCAGATGAAAAAACTTTCCTCCCCTTTCCCCTCCCTCCGCCCCTCTCAACACCATTACGCGAGTAAGCATCGTCGTGCTCTTCCTGTGCATTATCCCCCCTTCCCTCATCCCCCCTTTCGACCCCATCTCTCGCATAGCTGGAATGTAATCTACGACCTTTACCTCAAAACCCCCTCCTCTGCCTCCCTCTTCTTCTATTTCTTCGTCTCCCGCCTCCTTCAAGGTGTCTTCCTCTCAGGTTACTGCCTCGCATAAGCCTAACTCTTCCCTAACCCTGAACCCACCTCTGAAACCGCCTGAGATCCCCCCTCTTGTGGTTAGGTCCCCTCTTACGTCTTTCTGTATCCCTGTCCCTAAGGACGATGTTGCGAAGACCAACCCCAATATCCTTGCGTCCCTCATAAGAAGGTTCTACCCTGCTAGGCATGATGTCAGAGGAATAGAGAAGGTCGCGCAGAAACACTGGGGGGAACCCAATCTCAATTGCAGGCGCTTTTCCAACAATGATTTCCTCCTCTCCTTTCCCTCTTCTTCTGGTGCTAACCTTGCACTTCAGGGTTCTTCCCCCATCACCATCTTCGGCGCACGATGTGCCCTGTGGGCCTAGTCACCTTCCGAAGGGTCTTTTTGAAAGCAGCGTGTTTGGCTTACCTTCTACGACATCCCCCTGCACGTCTGGTCCCCTACTACATTCCAGAGCCTCGCTACTGAGGGTGGGTCTTCCGTGTCCACCCATTGGATTTCCATTGAAACTCTCCCTCTGAGAGCAATTCGTGTCCTCATTGAAACGCTGGACCCCAGTACCATTCCTAGCTTGTTGTGCTTAGAGGTTAGCGAGCTTTTCTACCCCATTCGACCTCTTGGTCGTTTGCCTCTCCCCCTTTCCCGCATTTCCTTGTCAATAAGGATCCACCTGTGCCCTCAGCTGCTCAACTTGACTCCTGGACTGTGGTGGAGAAGAAATCTCGTCAGTGCTCTAGACATCCTAGATCTCCTGCTTTGGCGTGGGTCAAAGACTGCAAACCTGCTATCCCTCCTCCTCCTTCTGCCCCTGAACTCTCTGCGTCAGCCACCCTAGCTACGCCCTCCTTAGCCCCTAC